AATTCTTTAGTATATTACTTGTGTGGTGTAGAAGATAATTATTTAAGAATGTAATTATGTAAGAATGTTAACACTCTGTTATAATTTTTTTAGTATATTACTTGTGTGGTGTAGAAGAGAATTATTTATGTAGAGATACTGCTTGCAAACCAATGATGGTAAGATGATGTCATGGGGTAGGACTGGATAAGTCTGACTTCTTCCTACTCCATTCAAGCATGTACTAGGTATAAGCAAATTGATATTGGATTGTGTGTAAAAATGTGTGTTGTTATATCAACTGTTTTATATGCTTGAAAGAATAAATCAAATCAAATCAAATCAAAATCAAATCAAATGTTGGTGCTGACTGACCAGGTACTGAATGTGGTTTTCCACAGCTTCACCTGCTGTCAAAAATAAGGTTTAGTTTGTGACCTTGCCTTTAAGGCCCTAAAGGGGCCTGGCTGAAAAAGCTATCAACAAAAAAGACAATACAAATGTTGTATCTGTTGCTTTTCAAAATTACAATAGTTAATTCTCAACAGCAAACTTCTGCCACTACTGCAGCGGCTGAAAGCTTTTTCTTTATACAAATATCTTTCAAGTTTTTCCTTTGCTTTGATTGTATTTTCAATTTCATCACTGATACATGATATTACTGAGACATTTTTGTTCTTTCCAGCATCCTTGAGGGAATCAGTGCTCTGTTTGTCAGTGGCCTTTGCCGCTGGCCTGGCTGTGATGTGATATCTCAAGATTTTCCTAGTTTCTTAAAGTAAGTAAACTGCTCAATGTTACATTCATTGACTCACTCTTAATTGAAGTATCGTGCATAATTGGGAATTGTAATAACCTAACAAGTATTATTTACCTCTTAAAGTGAACAATTTTGCATCTTACCCAGTCATATGGAAAGACTGACAGTACTGACAGCAGTGCTCAATCCCTGCAGCACCATGCACTGAGGACACTATGAAAACAAAACATTTTAGATGCCATGATGTCAAAAGTCATATAATTTTTAAAGGAGCTAGGTTACCACTTTCCCCTGTTCCCAGTTTGTGTGAGAAGCCTGGCTTTGTTAAAATCCAGCAAATTAATTAAATTAATCAATGTGACCCAGTGACTGCACAAAGTATCTCTAGGGTCCTATCAACACAGTGGGATTTCAAGGGTTGACTTCCGTTATTTTTCTGCCATTAATAAAACCAAAATGATTGTGGAATATGTAATAATGATGACTAGTTAGTTTAGTTTTTTCACTAAGTTAGCAGTTTTGAAATGTTGTTTTTTTGATGTACTGAATATACTATTTTTGTTTAAACAAAGTAACACATTAACAAAACAGGTCTGGACATGGGAAACAAGACAACAGATACATGACATTACAAAAAGATGTAGTGTTTTACAAGATAGTGGTGTGTGAGGGTGTGAAGTGTGGGTATTTCCAACTTATGCAGTCTATGAAACGCAAGAAAGGGAGAAGGAGGGGAATTAAATAAATAAATACAAAATTACCAATAATAATGATAATAACAGTACTACTAATAAAATCAACTTGTTACATTTTTAGAGGTTGGTGGGAATGTGCGTGGCCTCAGCCCCAGGTGCTTGGTTCAAGTTGAAATGTGTTAAAATGGTTCCATCTGTCATTAAAAGCTGATAAACTATTCTTGTGAGTAGATGCCATTTTCTTTAGTGTGATGTATTCAGTCAGAAGGTTGGTCCAGTGGTTTATGTGTAGTGATTTTTTTTTTATTTCCAGTTTTGAAAGATTGTCTTCTTGGCAATAGCTAAAGAAATGAAGAGTGGGTTTTTGTATTTAATGGGTAGGTGGTTGACTTCTATGATATTACCGAGTAAGCAAAGTATTGGAGAAGGAGGGATTCTACAACCCAAGATGGTGGAGAGTTTCTCTGTCACTGCTATCCAGAGGGAATGAATTGGTTGGCAGGTCCAAGTAGCATGAAAATAATTGTCAGTGCAATTTTTTTGCATTGTTAACAGATGCCTGTCAGTGAAACCCATTTAAAATATTTTAATTTGTGTAATATGTGTCCTATAAATGATCTTGTATTGTATAAGTTGTAAGTTTACATTGCTGGTCATGGAAAATGTGTTATTACAAATTTCTGTCGGAGTTGAGGGAGAGAGTTAAATCATTTTGATTTGATTTTGATTTGATTTGATTTGATTTATTCTTTCAAACATGCAGAACAGAACAAATGACAGCAACACACACACACATAATTACCCATATCTAACCAATGCTAATCCAAAATCAGTTTGCTTACACCTAGTACATGTTTGAATGGAGTAGGAAGAAGTCAGACTTATCCAGTCCTACCCCATAACATCATATTATACAAAAAATTTCATGCATCATTGGCTGCAAGCAGTATCTCTACATAGGTAATTGTCTTCTTCACCAACAAGTAATACACAGAAAATTAAAACAGAGTGTTTCCATAATGCCTTCTCGAATAAATCTTATTCTTGCATATATCTTGTATGACACATACATTTATATTTATATTTAAACTCCTCAATTCTAGTACTGTTCTTCATGTCCACCATTTGAGTTTTGGTATTGTTATTGTTGAATCTGTATTTGATATGAGTTTATATAGCTTGGATATTATTTTCTTGGAGTATGTAATTGTCATAATCTCTTCAATTAATTGGGAAGGCTGTAGTGGGTTATTGGTTACACTAATCTTTGATTTAATTATGGATTTTAGTTGATTGTACTGGAGCAACTGTTCTCTGAACTTCGTACTTCTGGACCAGTGTATTAAATGATATGAACTGGTTATTTTCAAATAGGTGATGTAAGTGAGTGATTCCTTTGTGTTGTCATGCTGGGAAATAGAAACGGTTATTATGCAGTTGGAAATCAGGGTTGTGCCAAATTGGAGTGTATCTACATGGTGCAAGATGATTTAGTGATTTTGTTTACATTTCACCAGAGTTGATAAGGTTGTGATATCCTTACAGTAATTAATTTTCTTAATAGAGTTTGGTAGGAAGGGAAGGTCTGCAACTGCTCTAATTCTATCCATGCACTGTTGTAACTATCCTTCTGAATCCATTTGACTAAATATTGTAGCTGATTTGCCAAGTAGTAATATTGGAGATTTGGCGCTTCTAGGCCACCTAGTGATTTCTTCTTTTGAAGTGTAGATAGGGAAATTTTGGGTTTCTTCTTTTTACAATAAAATTGTGAAGTTATAAAATCAAGTGATTTAAACCATTTATCTGTGTGTGTTGTGGGAAGCATTGTAAACAGGTAGTTGATTTGAGGTAGAGTTTTCAGTTTTGACATGCTTCAGTCTTCTATCTTCAGATAGTGTTTTTGTTAGCACTTGAGTGTTTAACGAGATACAGTGAGTGCTTGATTAGATACACTGAGTTTTTAATACATCTTGGGCATGCTGATTGAGTGGACTGTGGGCTTTTTCTGTTTTATTTATTCATAATGTGGTATTGTTCATATTTAAAGTTGTTTATACTCTGTATATTCTTTTACTTTTCTTGATGTCTTGAGTAGCATGCCGAGAGCACTGTAGTGTAAGTTACATTCCTTGTGTGTCAGATCATGGTGAATGAAAGTTGTGATTCTGACTATGTTTACATAAACGGACTTGAGGGCCTGAATTGCTCAAACCTCTAAGAATGACAATATAGATGTCTCTTAAGTACCAACTTTAGAGTAAAAAGTTCTTGAGTGTCAATAAGAGACAATTGTAAAGTGACTTAGTGCTGCTTAGAGTCCAGTGTAAAAAGTAAGAGCAAAAGTTCACATGA